ACAGCACGGACGGACAGCACGAGCAGACAGTTCAACATCCAGCGAGGTGTGAAACAAGTAGACCCACTGAGCTCCTTACTTTTCAACGCACTATTTGGAAGCATTTTCCGACGCATGAAGGACACATGGCGCAACAAAAAGTTTGGCAGACAGATGGGTTTCACCGCAGACACCCTCCTCACCAACCTCCGTTTTGCAGACGACGTTTTATTGTGTACGCCAAATTTGCGTCAGCTGACATGTTTACTGCGCGACCTCAAGCTCCACTCGACACAGTGCGGCCTTGAGTTACCCCCAGGCAAGACGAACAGATTGACCAACGTCTCCCGGCGACAAGGCAGAACTATCAAGGCCAGTAACATCGAAGGTGATAGTGTCGAGATTTTGGGCGCAACGCAGAGCACGAAGTATTTGGGCAGGAAACTTACATACCATGACTTCCACATCACGGAGGTCGACAACATAATCGCGTCGGGCTGGCGCCGGTTCAACCAATTGAGACACGAATTGGCATGCAAACGCTACCTCTCGCAAGTCGCCCACGCCTCTTCAGTGGGACCGTAACGCACAGTGTCATGTACGGATGCAGCTCGTGGGCCCTAACCCAAGACATGCTTACATTAATACAGCGTACACAGCAGAAGATGATCCGAATCATCGTGGGCACTGGCAGACGACGCACGCAAGGGAATCACTGGAACGACGACGAGAAAGACCTCCAACTTAGCAGCGACCAACAGGAGGAGGGAGATGGAGCAGACCGCGCAGAGCTTGACGGAGACTTCGCCGAAAGCAACCCAGACAATGACGACAGCACTAACAACGACGACTTTGGCAACGACGGAAGCATGAAAAGCAGCGACAGCGACGACGACGACGACGGCAGTACCAGGAGCAACGACGGCGACACCAACAGCAACGACGGATTAGAGCCCTGGGTGGACTTCATCCGACGAGCGACGCACGCAGCCGATGCCCATGCCAGACGCGCGAATGTCGACGATTGGGCTTCGCATTATTTAATGCAAAGTGGAGATGGGCCAAGCGGGTTGCCAATTTACCCGCCGACCGCTGGGCGCGACGCGCCGCCGCTTGGCAACCTCCGCTGCACGACAAAAGACCCGCACAACAAAAACATGGCGGACAGCGGAAGCGTTGGGACCACGAGATCGTCAAATGTTTGGGCACAGTGGATACGATTAACACAACAAGGGACTCCCCGATGATATTGGCTGCGAATGGTGGTTCGCACTGGCGCACGATAGCTGCACTTGGCAGGGCTTAGAGGACAAGTTTGTACCATACGCCGTCGCCCAGCAAAGCACGGACGACGCGAACTGAGACACCCGGCCCGTCCGCCAACACGTGAAATCGAACCAGGGCGAGCTGGACATGCACACCAATTCCAAGCTTTTGACCTCCACCCTCCGACCCCCAACTCTCACGTCCACATCCCGACTTCTAGCATGCGACATCCGATTTGTGTTTTTCTACCTCTACCTATCGACCTCCAGCTTCTTCCAGCTTCCCACTCCCGCTTCCAGCATTCAGCATTCCGACTTTCACTTCCACCTCCACCCGTCGACCTCCAGCGCCCAGCAGCGCAGCACTCCGACCTTCAACCCCCAGCAGCATGTGACTTTCCACCCCCACCTCCACCCATCGACCTCCAGCGCACAGCAGCTCAGAACTCCGACTTCCACCCTCCAGCATCCGACTTCCCACCTCCACTTCCACCTGCCGACCACCCAGCACTCCGAGTCCAGCATGCGGCCCCCGACTCTCCATTTCCACCTGCACCACTTGATTTCCAGCGTCCACCAGTTCATAACTCAGCACCCCGACTTCGGCAAGCACGGACTACAAGCACTGAGGGCCCCGGCCCCCCCGCGCAGGCCCTAAAGGGCCCCGTTCCCGGCGGAACCGCGCGTTCGCCTCGCCACGCCACGAAAGTGGTTATAGCTGCTCAGTTGGCAGCCTCCCAGGAAGCCCCCCAGTAGGAAAGGTGGAAAGGTACAAGCAGGAGAGGCAAGGAGCCAGAAGGCAGGGGAAGAGGGAGGAGGAGGAGGAGGAGGAGGAGGAGGAGGAGGAGGAGGAGGAGGAGGAGGAGGAGGTGGTGGTGGTGGTAAGCATCAAATGGTCCTGCGTCCAGCTCGGCGGATCAGCGACGACCGATGGGCGGCGTGGGATCGCTGTGTCCCCGCCGATGTCAAACAATCGCCATCCCTCGCGGTTCCCTCTCCAGGACTCACGGGTGGAGCGGGCGAATGGGAATCAGGCGACACGACCTGACAAGAACAGGCCACCTGAAGTGCAACTTCAGGGGACAGCAAGGCGAAACAACTGAACGCTACATTAAAGACATTGCATGTGCGTTTTCTACCCTCTGCGCCCCCGTCCTCGCTTCTGGACGGGTTGCTAAGGAGGCCCCCGCGTGCCCCGAAACCTCACTCGCCCTCGCCCCAGCACAGTCTGACCGATCACAGTATTTCCCACAACACTGCTAGCTGTGCCGCGCGCGCTCACTTCCCGACGTCGCTCCTCATGCCCACGTACGTGTGCATCACTCTGCTCTATTGCCTGCGATGCTTTGACCTGCGAAGAAGCCTCTCCAAACTGCCCTGCACCTTCCTTTCCTGCGTCGTCCTGGGGGGCGGTCCTAGCTTGGGCTGGCTGCCCATCTTCACGAAGAGCGCAGGAGGAGGAGGAGGAGGAGGAGGAGGAGGAGGAGGAGGAGGAGGAAGCGGGGGATTGGATCATTGGAGACCGCACTGCTCCATTGTAAGGGGTCTGGGTTGGGCGTCTGAGCCATTGCGGCCGCCGAGAGTAGGCAGCCGAGTAGGAGCCAACGGAGCCACAGCGGGCTCAACCTGTCGGGCGGGAGGCAATGGGGGCTGACCAACATGGGGGGGCCATTGGGGTCACCGCTTCGGGCCCTGGGACCCTCACAGGTCGATGCGGCTCGAACAGTGACGCAGAAAGATAAGGTCCGGGGTTACGGTCGCTCACCCACCCCCCGCCGCAACGGAGATTTGGCTCAGAAGTCTGGGCCTCCAAGAGGTGGTCCAGGTAGATGCTTGGCATCGCTCGGACGTGTGCATGTTTCCTTCGGCGAGGACCATCGAGGAGCACCCTTGATCATTTGGCGAAAAACCACGCACGAAACCGACAAAAAAACAGGGAATGGACGTCCGAGCGATGGCCAGGATGGGGTCGGGGGATCGCGCCGCATCGCCGAGGCACCGGCGATGCGGTTCCATGCGGAGCTCGATTCTCTTGACGCCGACGTCGCCGACGCATCGCCGACGTCGACGACGCATCGCCGATGCGTCGACGAGGCATCGCCCACGCATTGCGATGCGGCGAGATTATCCGACTCCATCTACTCCGACCCCATCCCTGGGCCCATCCCTGGGCCCATTCCTGGAGGCCTGGAAAACGGGCCCCGCAGGCCGACATCAAAGGAAAACGCCCGCAGCAAAAACATCATCACACCTGCCTCGAGACGCCCGTTGTCAAACGCAGCGCGCACGGTACTGAAAACGGCCGTGCCAATACGTTGTGTGTTGGCCCGGCGTGCTGGCCCACGTCTTGGCGAACGCATCGCGCCACGCCAACGTTGTCAGTCCACGTGCTGAGCTCCCTACCGATACGCTACGTGTTGCGCGTTGCGTATCAGAGCAGCTACGAACGTCACACGTTCGGAGATCCGACGTCAGACGCCGAACGGGCTCGGGCACGGGGTCGGAGCCCGTGCCGGCGCCGCCCGCGCGGCGGCGCGCACGCCGTGCGATGCCGCCGGCTCGCAGGCCGTGGCGACCGTCGACCGTCGACCACGGCGACGACCACGACGACGACCACGACGACGACGACCTCGACCTCGACGACGACGACGACGACGACGACGACGACGACGACGACGACGACGACGACGACCACGACCACGACCACGACCACGACCACGACCACGACCACGACCACGACCACGACCACGACCACGACCACGACCACGACCTCGACCACGACGGCGGCGGCGACGGCGGCGGCGACGACGGCGACAAGCTCGCAGGCCGCGGCGGGCCTCGGGAGGCGCAGCGCGTGGCGCGCGCCCGCCGCGGCCGCGGCGGCGCTGCTGGCCGCGCCGCGTCCGCGCCGCGCGCGCGCGCTGGTGGCCGAGCCGGAGGTGCTTGAAGACGCGCGCGCCGAGGTCCTCGGGCTGCGCGCAACGGTGAGGAGGGAGGAGGAGGAGGAGGAGGAGGAGGAGGAGGAGGAGGAGGAGGGAGGAGGAGGGAGGAGTAGGAGGAGGAGGAGGAGGAGAGAGGAGGAGGAGGAGGAGGAGGAGGAGGGGAGGGGAGAGCGAGGAAGGGAGGAGGAGGGGGGGCATGGAGGAGGAGGAGCAGGAAAAGGAACAGGAGGAGGACGAGGAGGAGAGGAGGAGGAGGAGGAGGAGGGAGAGGAGGAGGGAGGGACGGGGAGGAGGAAGAGAACGCGTTGGCCGCGACGGGTCGGCTCTTGTTGCGTTGAGGGGCGCGCAGGAGTGACGCGCTGACATGCGTTCTGAGGTTTGGGGCTGCGCGCGCCAAGGTTTTGGGTTGCACGCGGGGGGGCCAGATATTTTCGGAGGTGTTCTTCCTCCTCCTCCTCCTCCTCCTCCTCCTCCTCCTCCTCCTCTTCCTCCTCTCCCGCCTAGCTGCCATCTGGGCGCAAGATATCTCTGGGCAGCGAGCGAACACCCACACACACACACACACACACACACACGCATTCATCACACAATCCGTGCTAACGGTGACAACCCGCATGGGCAAGGTAACGGCGTGGACAGCCTCTTTTGCGGCTCCAGTCGCTCTGCATGATTACAATCCGATCACCATGCATTGTGTGCCCGTTGGACTGCAGAGGCACCATGCAACGAAGTGGATTTCGACCCACAGAAGCGCGCAAGACGCAGACTTCTCCTACACTGCGTCAGGCAGATACAGCGGGACTACCTCACCTTCATGGTGCACGAAACGCAGAAGGTGTATGACGAGCAGTGTCTCACCGACATGCTCGCGGCGCACGAGAAGAACTGCACTTCACAGACCACGGCGCGACGCTGGGAACCAAGGACACAGCGAATCACGTGACGCAGCAAAACTAACTACGCGGACCCGGACGGGACGCTGGGCACAAAGGACACCGCGGCGCACGAGGAACAGAAGAACTCTGCAGACCAGAGAAAAACGTTGGGCCACAACGACCTCGTGTAGCGACATCATTACGAAGACCAGGAAACGGCGGTGAGCACGTAGGACGCCGCAAAGAACGAGAAGCAGCAGAGCTTCGCGGACAAGGAGAAGGCGCCGAACACCAAGGACGCCAAGACGCACGAGGAGCAGCAGAGCTTTGCAGAGAGGGACATAGCGCTTGGCAGCAAAAACGACGCGGCGCACGAGCCACAGCAGAGCTACGCAGACCAGGGCGAGACGCTGTGCACAGAGGACACGCGAAGCACGAGGAGCAGCTGAGCTTCGCAGACCAATGGACGACGCTCAGCAACTAGTACGCGCTGCTGGCCACAGGAATTCTGAGGCGCGCGGGCAGCAGCGCAACGCCGACCAGGACGCGACGTTGGACACCAAGGACAAAGCGCCCCTAGAGGAGCATCAGGGCTTCGCGCAGACCAGGAGAAGGCGCTGAACACCAAGAGCTTCGCAGCGAACGAGGAGCAGCAGAGCCACGGCGACCGGGACGCGTCGCCGGGCAGGCGCGGGCGCGCAGAAAATATGGTCCATACGGCGCGCGAGCTGCCGCCCTCTCTCTTCGACCTCGCACGCGACGCCTCGCGGCGAGCAGCGCGGCAGGGGCCTCGCGGACACGCGCCAAGCTTCACGAGTGGATCGAGGAGGCCGCCCCGAGCGGACCCGCAACGGCGTATTCGAGCAGGTCGACAGAAAGGGCATCGCGGAGCACGCGGCACTTCGCGCGGATGCGCAGCCAGCGCCGAAGAGGGGCAGCGCAACGCAGAGAGCGGCGAAAAGCGAAAAGGATGCCGACACAGAGCGGGAGGGAGGCAGTTGGCGAGCACGCATTTGCAGGGGCTGGGGCCACCTTGCCGGCGAGTCCCTGCGCGGGGAGAGCTGGCGCGGGAAGGGCCAGAGCGCCGCGGCGCGCGAGCGACCTCCCGCGAAGTTAACGGAACAGAGCCAAATTAGCATATTCTGAGGACACAGAGCACTACGATCAGACCAGTAGCCCGAACCGGCCCGAACGCTCGATCGATCGATCGACCCCCCCCGCCCTCCCCCCCGTCGGCGCTTGTTCCGCGCGCCGCGGGGGAAGGGAGGGGCGCGCGCGCGCGCGCACTCGCGCGCGCGCGCGCGCACACGCACACACCACACGCAAACACACACACACAGACACACACACACACACACACACACACACACACACACGCACACACACACACACACATTCGCACGCACGCACGCACACACGCACGCACGCACGCACACACACACACATACGCACGCACTCACGCACACACACACACACACACACACTCTCTCTCTCTCTCTCTCACGCACGCGCACACGCACGCCGAGACACACATTCTCACACACGCACACACACGCGCGCGCATCAGAGAGGCACGCGATTACAACCGCGCAGACACAACACACACACACGCACACCACACAATGCCAGCATACACCTGCCGCGCCCACAGCATCGCGCACACGCGCGCCCGACGCGCCCAACAAACGCGCGGCGCTGATTTCAGACACGCGGCCGCACGAAGCTGCACACACACACACGCACACACACGCGCGCACGCACACGCACACGCACGCGCACGCGCACACACACAAACACACACACACACACAAACACACATACACGCACACACGCGCGCGCACGCGCGCACGCACGCACGCGCGCGCACACGCGCACACACTCACGCACATCACGCGCGCAACACAAACAGGCTCAGACCGAGCCACCCACATGACACGCACGCCACGCAACATCTACGCGTAGGTATCGCAGGGCGCGGCGGGCGCGCCACATTCTCGACGCCAGAGGGCGCGCGGGGGGCGGGGCGCCACGCGTCGCAGGCTCGCGGGGCGCGGCAGGCGGCGTTCCCTCGACGCCGCAGGAGGCGCGTCGAGGGCAAGGGCGCTCAGAGTTGCAGTATCGCAGAGCGTCGCATGCGCGGCAGTTCCTCGGCGCCGCGGGGGGCGCGCTGAGCGCGAGGGGGCGCCGCGCGCCGCAGGCTCGCGGGGCGCGGCGGGCGCGGCGCGCCTCGGCGCCGCCGCGGGGGGCGCGGTGGCGCGCTGCAAGCATGCAGGGCGCGGCAGGCGCGGCATTCCTCGACGCCGCGGGGGTCGGGCAGGGGGCGGGGGCGCTGTGCGCCGCGGGCGCGAAGAGCGCGGCGGCCGCGGCATTTCCACGACGCCACAGGGTTTGCGTCGGGGGCGGGGGCGCTCTGCGCCGCAGGCTCGCAGGGCGCAGCAGGCGCAGCATCTCTTCCACGCCGCCGGGGGGGCGCGCCGGGGGCCGGGGGCGCCGCGCGCCGCGAGCTCATCGGGCGCGGCAGGCGCGGAAGGCGCGGCATTTCCTCGACGCCGCGCGGAAGTGCGCTGGGGGCGGGGGCCCGCGCGTAGCAGGCTCGCAGGGCGCGCGAATCGGGCGCTCGAGGCAACGCCCCGAGCCTTTTATCGATGCGCCCCGCACGCGGCAAAGCGCTGCAGGCGCGGCGCCGCTCATTTCCATTCCGCAGCCCACATTGCAGAGGTTTCGATTTCTGCCCGGGCACCCGGCCCACGCATCCGGGGCGCGACTGGCGCGGCACTTCCGTCGCGCTTGAGAGCCGCGCGCGGGGCGGGGGGGCGCGCGGCCGAGAGCTCCCGCCTCGCCCAGAGCCGCGTGCACCTCGGCCCAGGCCGACCTGGCGCGCCCGCGCTTGAAATGCCGCTCGAGGGCAGCAGCCGCCTCACCTGCACGCGGCAGCCGCGCCTCCCAACATTGCCGCGGGCGCCGCCACCTCCGCGCCCGGCGACGAAGAACCCAACGGTTAAGATGGGCGACGAGGTCAGCTTGGAGAGATTGCGCTGCTGCGCGCATTGAAGGCGCACCGCTGCCAGCTTAACAGTTGGCAGCCCGCCGCGCCCAATGCTGGCAGCGCCTGGAGGCGCATCTGCGGAGCCCTGCGTCGGGCGGGCCACGCCCGAAGGCTCTTCTAGATCAGCCGAAGGAGAACGGGATGCACGACGACGCCCCGCCGGCGCAGCTTCGACGAGCGCACGCGGCCGGCAGCGGCCCCCCCCCGCAGCGCTTGCCGTGCCCGCGATGGCAGAGCCCGCGAAGGCCACGCGCGCGCAGGCCCCGCCCGCGCAGACTTTCACGCCGCGGCGGTCTCCGGCCGCCCAGCCGGCCACGTCGGCTCGTTGCGCCAGCGCCCCTCGCATTCAGCTTTCCCCGGGGCCCGCGAACGCGGACGACCGCCGGTTGGCCTCGGTCGCAGAACCGGCGACAGTCGGTCGCCGCAACCCGTCTGCGCACCCGAGCGGATAAGAAAGCAGGCCCATCCATGGGCGGCCCTCTCGCTTCCTGTCCTGCTCTGGGAAACGGCCCTTCACGCTCGGCTTCCCTGGGGGCGCCCCCCGGAAACCCGCCTCCTTGCATCTACTCGGAACGGCCGTCGGCGGCCCCCTCGCTTCTTGCCCCGCGTCGGGCGCGGCCCGCGACAGTCTTTGGCGCAGTTCGCAGTTCCGAGGGTCTTCTTCCTAAATGATTTATCCGGCGTGCGCCTGGAGATTTTCCGTCGAAGCGCTTCCCCCCGTTTGCACCCCCGCGCATTGCTGAAGCCAAAATGGACGGCGCTTGCTCGGAGGCGGGCGCCGACCCATTCATGGGTGACCCCATTTGTCTCTTGTTCCATAGTGGGAAAGGGCCCTCGGTGACCCCGCTTCCCCTTGTTTGCCCAGGAACGGCCCCTGGCGACACCCGCCGCTGCCTGCCCGCCCCGCAGACGGCCCCCGATGAGCTTCTCGATCTGTCTCTTGCCACGGAGGATGCGCTGCTGACCGGCTGCAAGGGTTGCCCATATGGTCGGTGGAGGGGGAAGCCGATTGAAAGTGGAAGCACGGCGCCCACGTCGCGGAAGACGATCCGGATCATTGCCGCGCGCTCAGCGGCGCCGACTGATGGCCCCGATCGCTGCTCCGCTCGAGCACGTCGAATGCGTCGGTGGCTCTTCCGTTTCCAGGAGACCTTCGACATCGCCGTCAGCGTTGTCGCATGCATTGTTGGCATTCAGAAGTTGGGAGAGCCCTGGGGCTGCGACGTTCTCCGGGGATTGGCTCTCGGTGGCCCCCCTCTCTGGGGATTCGGTCAGAGCGTCGGAGCGCCAGGTCCAGTCGTCGGACCCGTCGCGTGGCCTGGGCGCGCGCCACCCCCGTGTCTTATGATTCCACGCTGCGCGTTGGCGCCCCCACGCGCTTCGCGCCACTCGTGCTTCCGAGGTCTTGACAAGAGCACAAGGCGCGCCGAGGCAAAGCAGCGCGCCGCCATCGCCGGGCGCAGGTCTCGCAGAACGCGGAAGGTCTTGCGAGAGCGCGCCTGGAGAACCGCCCGCGCCCGCGACGGTCAGGCGCCGCCGTTCACCGGGCGCGCTTCCGCGGGGGCGAGCCTAGCGACGGCGAGGGGGCGGGCGACGCGGCGGGCGACCCTCCGGCTGCGCCGCAGTTGAAAATTGGCACTGTCGAGGAGCAGCCCCTAGCGGGGACGACGAGTTCCGAGAACCGCATGGAGACACTGACCTGCGGCCACAGGCCCCGGCCCCGAGCGCTCGAGAAGGAGCCGCCGGTTCTTCCGCACATGGACAGAAGGGCGACCTGCCCGACCACGCGCGCGCCGATCGCCTGTTCGACCAAGGCCGCGGAGAAGCACGGCGAGGTCGGCGCGGCAGCGTGCCAGACGCGCGGAGCGGAACGGATCACGTGGACAAGCAGATCCACGCTAGAAGCGCAGGATCTCGCACCCCAAGATAAGATGACAGACAACGATGACTCCGACGACGAGGATGAGGAGCCAGGCGCGGGAGATGGGAAGGGCACCGAGCCGGCGTCATTCGACGATGCCGGCGTTCACGTTACTCCCAGCGCTTGCACCATGGACTGCGCGGCTGGCTTGCCAGGCAAAAGCAGCTCGCTCGGGGACAGACCAGCTTCGTCAAGCGCTGCGCCGTTGCCTGTGACCAGGTCTGGCGCGACGAGAAGAACGGCGCCCCCTGACACCAGCGCAAGGTTCACCGCGTGCTGCTACTGGGCCAGGGCGGATCCGGCAAGACGCACGCGGACCAGGCGCGCGCCATCAAGGCGGTGAACTACATCTGGCCAGAAAGAGAGCAAAACCAGCCCTAGCCTCGTCGAGGCGGCGTTCTCCAACGTTCAGGCCAAGAACATCTCGTCGGCGGACGCGGGGGGCATGGCGATCCACGGAGCTGGGGGCACTGCCGCGCAGGACCTGACGAACGACACGCGACGGCCCAGCGCCGCGAAGCTCGAGATACCGGAGCAGCGCTGGCGCCGAGCGCGCTTGTCACGGAGGAGATCAGCATGATATTTCCAGCCTTCTACAACATGCTGGACTCCAGGGGCATGTCCAGCAGGCGCCAGGAGTTCGCCGTGGACGAGTCCAACTACAAGAAGGACCGCGACCATTTTGGGCGAGTCCCCATCGACATTCAGCTGGGTAGCTCCCCCTAGCTCGCTCCGACATGAGAGCCATCGGGCTCGTCAAGAAAGTCCAAGAGCATGACGAGGACGGCAGCGACAATTTGGTCCCGTCTCTGGGCGCGGGTGTGCAGCGCGCCATAAGAGCGTTCGGTAAAGTACCCAAGGCCATCGAGCCAAAGCGCACCGTGCGCTTCAAGCCGTGCGACCCCCTGGTCGAGCTCCTCGCGCCTGCGCGCGTTTCGCGCGGCGGATCCCAGATCGCGCATGGACAGCCTTCCAGGCTCGAGTCGCCACCGACAGCGACCAGAGCGAGGGGTCCGAGGCTGGACGGGGAAAAGTTTGCGATCGGATCCGGAATGACCTGGTACTGGAGCGCGCTGTACCGATGGAAATCTCACCAGAGCATGGTCGGCTCTCGCGCCATGGGCGCGCCGCTGGTCACCCTGCAGTCAATCGACGAGGGCGTCGTCGGCGGCACGCCACAGGAGACTGTTGAAACTTGCAAACCACTGCTGAACATATCCGTGGCTACACGGGGCACGCGCGCGGAGTTTTTCCGGCGCGCGCGGGCGTGGAAGTGGCGCGCACGCGCAAGAGTTTGGCCCTGGAGCAGAAGGCCACCATCGTCCGCTTCGCGCTCGGCAGCAGCGACCAGGACAGGCACGAGGCCTGCGCTCCGAGAGAGATCTTCCGCCCGCGCTTTCTGCCTGCCGGAATCTGGATGCAGGTGCGCAAGTTCGACCAGCAGGGCCACGGCGCGGTCGCCGACCTCGTCAATTTCTTCGGAACCCAGAAAAAGAAGGCGAACGGCCTGTTCTGCTTCCCGCTCATGGAGGCGCACCGCAAGTGGAAAAGCGCCCACACGGCGCACCAGGTTAACAGGCATGGGTACACGATCAAGCACGGGCACTTCCTGACGCCCACCACTACACAGGGCCAGGCGGCCCGCACCAGGGCGACCGTCGAGCGCGCGCTGGGCGCGAGAATTTGCAGACAGGAGGGCAGAGCGGAGAAGCGACGGCTGCGTGCGCACGCGACCCTCAGCGGGGCCACCTGCGCGGCGCGCTCTCGTTTCGGCCGCCGCCGCGAGTGGTCTTGCAGACAGGCCCACGTTGTTCTCGAAGCCCACCAGAAGTTCGGCGAGCGCATGGCCATGGAGACGCGAAAGATCGAGGCCGTCGGTCTGGGGCGCCACTGGGTCTCGCGGGCGGCGCGAGGTCGGTGGAGCGCGCGGGCCCGCGCGCAGTTACAGTGGCCGTTCAGGCGAATGACGCCCGCACACGCACGGGGCGGCTCACGTCGAGAGGCCCGCGCTGCCCTGACGGAACGGGGCGCCGCAGTCTTTCCGACCAGGCGGCGTTGTCCAGCCGCGCGCACGTCGCGCTGCTCGCGCCGCCTGCGAATTTCATTTCCTCGCGCCAGCCGCGGCCCAGAGATTTTGCGCCGAACGGCGCTCTCATTGTCAACTTGCCCGCGGCTAATGTTTGCACGCCGCGTCTTTGCGCGCGCAGCTCGGAGACGGCCCGTCGAAGAGACGCTGGGAGAGATGCGGAGAACGCAGGACAAAAAAGACAGGTTCACGGGAGAGGGGGGGGCAAGGGGGGAAGCAGCAGGAGAGGGAGGATCTCTCTAGGCCGTTCCGGCAACCGCCCCTCGCCCACCACCTCGCCGCTGGCCCCGCGGGGAGAATGGGGGGGGGGGAGGTTCAAGCAATGGCGCGTTGGATGGCAATAGAAGGAACAAACATTCACGGTGCACGCGCAGAAGTCAGGATGCCACGCGCATGCCAGATGATTGATTGCATGAAGATTAAAATGCGGATGCGGGGTTTCTCGACGGCGCGATTTTTCATCAAGACAGAGAAACACGCTTGAGGTGCGTGGCAGCGTTCGCGTTTTATCGCCAGCTGTTGAATCGCATTGTCCGCGCCAGGAAAACAAGTTGTCGGAGGCGTTCGGGGTTTGGGGTGGCGTTCCCAGGTCTCGGGCCACATTGAGCCCGCAGTGCGGGATTGACGGCGGGCGCCCAGGGGAAAGCTTGCCGGCCGATGTTGTAACCAGCGGGCGCCAGGCTGACTGCCCCGACGAGGGTCGGCACTAATCTTCGCAATGCGTCCTGGAGTCACGTTGGCTTCCCACGGGGGGGTCACAAGGTCAAAACGCTGTCCGGAGCAGATTGTAGAAGATGCGTACAGCGAAACAGCCATTACTGAGAGTCGGAGGACCCTCCGAGGTTCATGCGCCGAAGATGTCCCCAACGAGAGTGCCGTTTCGCCGGAGCCGAGCTATCGAATGTGTCCCGAGCGAAACGGCATTTGCTGTGATGCGCGTTCCCTTCCGAAGCTGATGGTTCCAGGATGTCCCGAGCGAGACGACCATGCGGGGCCATCGAGGCACGCTTCGCGGTTTCTGTTCTACGTTTCCAAGTGGACCAGGCCGTCGGAGTGCGCGAAACATTTCTGAGCATGACTGACGCACGCCACATCGTCCTTCTCCATCATCCTCCATTCAGGTGGAAAAAAACACACAGGCACAATTCATCGTCGATTCCCCAGAAAATATGGGAAACTATGGGAAGTGGGGGGAGACAAAAACCCCGAAATGTACGGGAACATATGGGGACTCCTGTTAATTGTGTGTATTTACTTGCGTGTCCCGGGCCCCCTTCATACATCGTCCTCCTCCATCACCCTCCATCTCGGCATCTCCCCTCGGTACTCAACACGGCGAGGGCCCGCAGACGGGGCACGCCGACATCGAGCCCGCAGGGCGGGAGCCACGGCGGGCTCCCGCAGGGGAGCTCCGCATGCAGATTTCGGGGCCAGTGGGTGTTCGATTGGGCATCGCTCGGACGTGTGCATTTTTTCCTCGGCGAGGACCACTCAGGACCATCCTGGACCATCGAGCACAAAAAAGACACGCACGACACCGAAGAGTGCACGCGAGATGGACGTCCGAGCGGGGGCAAGGTGGGCGTTCGAGGGCCGGCGCCGATTCAGAGTCAGCAGCCGCGAGGGGTCAGACAGCGGTCGGGCAGCGGCGGGGGGCGCGCCGATGCGAGCTGGGGCACGAGGGGGGGCGGGGGGAGAGCGCGCGGGCGCGGGGGGGAGAGGAGGGGGGAGGAGGGGGGAGGAGCCAGGAGGGAGGAGGAGGAGGAGGAGGAGGAGGAGGAGGAGGAGGAGGAGAGGAGGAGGAGGAGGAGGAGGAGGAGGAGGGAGGAGGGAGGAGGAGGAGGAGGAGGAGGAGCCCGGGAGGAGAGAGGGAGCCACGCCCAGGCGCGCCGGGGCGAGCTGGGGCACGAGGGGGCGGGGGAAGAGCGCGCGGGCGCGGGGGGAGGGGCCGGGGAGAGCCTGGAGAGGAGAGAGAGAGAGAGAGAGAGAGAGAGAGAGAGAGCCACGCCCAGGCCATGTGTAGGCAAGGGCGTGCGCGCCGAGGTGCAGCAGCAGGGGGCGGAAGTCCTGGAGCAGAGCACGGCCCAGACCCCCGGCGGCACAGCGTCGGCCCCCAGAGGTCTCGACCCCTTCCCTGGAACCGGCTTTTCAGCCTGAGTCGGTGCTGGACGGCCCCGAGGCCAAGGCAGGCCCCTGGAGATCGAACATTGTTTATGGATTGATACATATAGACATACATACATGCATACATACATACATGCATACAGACATACAGACATACAGACATACAGACATACAGACATACAGACATACAGACACACAGACGCACAGACACACAGACACACAGACATACATACATACAGACAGACATACAGGCATACAGGCATACAGACATACAGACATACAGACATACAGACATACAGACATACAGACATACAGACATACAGACATGCAGACATACAGACATACAGACATACAGACAGACAGACAGACATACATACATACATACATACACACATACACACATACACACATACACACATACAGACACACACAGACAGACACACACAGACAGACACACACAGACAGACACACACAGACAGACAGACGGACAGACAGCCAGACAGGCAGCCAGACAGGCAGACAGACAGGCAGACAGACATCCACTCGCGACGTTGTCGCAACGCCAGGGGGCCCGGGGGAGGCGGGTGCCGCGCCGGTCTGCTTCCCGGCCCCCCCCCCCTGCGAGCCGCCGCGAGGTGGCGGCCGCCGAGCGGCTGCTGCGGGAGCTGTCGGGCGGGGCTGCCGCGCCCTCGGCCGCGGGCCTCGCGGCGCGGATGCTCCGGCGGTCACTGCCCGTGGTGGGCGAGGCCGCGGCGGCCAGGCGCTCGAGTCGGGCCTGCCCCTCCTACTAGGAGAAGATTCAAGCACAGCTTTCTGGATAAAAAAGAGGTCTGGGGACGATTTGTTGACAACGATTTTGTTGCTCAAATTGGAGATGCTTGGTGCATGCTTGGACTGTGTCTTATTTTTCCGTCCACAATTCACCTGCATGGGGGACATGCCCGACCTAAAGGTACGCGAGGCAGAGGGGCCCGACCCTCTTCATGCTGATCCAGAGGCCCGGCGGCGTCCCCTGGGGTCGGGCAGGCGGCAACGAGGAGGGGACCCACGCGGGGGGGGGGGGGGGGGGGGGGGGAAGAGAACAAGGGCACCAGCTGGCTCCAAAAGGGGCCCTTGGAGGGCCATGTTCTTCACCCCCAAGTGCCTTCGGGGCGGCGCAGGGGCGACTAAACATATCGGAGTTTGCGTGCCAGGGCATTTTCTTTTGCGGAGTTGGGCGCCCTGGCGCGGACTGCCGAACGACCCCTGCAGCGGGGCGCCCTGGCCACGCAGTCGCCGCCGCAAAATTTGCCCGTTGAACGCTAACGCCGCGCAAAGGCGGCGCCGAACGATGTGGGCCACCCCCCTTGGGCCACCCGCCCGAGGGGCTCTGGGCGCTGCAGTCTTTTGTTTGCAGCTGGCGTGTGCGGATCGCGCGGCGGGCCTGGCCTGGGACCCTCCCGCATCGACCCGGCTCGAGCAAGGACGCAACAACCATTGTCGGGGGTGGACAGAACCCCCAACAGTGACACGTCGATCAGTGAATTGTCCGCTTTCGGTTCTCGAGAGGGCGCCGTGGCCGTTATTTTCCAGGCTTGCGCCCGCCAGGTTTGGGCCTCAGGTCGTTTTCGCTAAACCACGTTTTACTAAAGAGGGGTCGGTCCATCCCCGACATTGGGTCAGGGCTGCGGTCGTGACCTCCAGCGATCCGCAGTCCTGGCGGCCCCGAGCACACCCAGAGGCTGCTCGACGACGACGGAGGAGCCAAAAGCTTCACAGGCGCAGATGCTCGGAGCCCCGCGGGGGCTTCCTCGGGGTCGGCGCCGTGGGCCCCTCCCGCGGCGGCCCCGCGCAGGTCGGAGGAAGCCGCGCGGCGCGCCCTGAAACTTCCAGCGGGGGCCCCTGCCAAGAAACACCCTGCGCGTCGGGCCCCCCCACACATTATCAGAGCCTCGAATCATCAGGGGTGACTCGGGTCAGGGCTAACTCGGGTTCGTTTTTCGGGATCCCGAGCCCGACTTACCCCGGACCCGAGTTACCCCGGATAATTCGGGTGTCCAGAGCCCCGAATCATCAGGGGTAACTCGGGTCAGGGCTAGCTCGGGTTCATTTTTCGGGATCCCGAACCCGACTTACCCCGGACCCGAGTTACCCCGGATAATTCGGGCGTCCAGAGCCCCGAATCATCAGGGGTAACTCGGTTCAGGGCTAACTCGGGTTCGTTTTTCGGGATCCCGAACCCGACTTACCCCGGACCCGAGTTACCCCGGATAATTCGGGCGTCCAGAGCCCCGAATCATCAGGGGTAACTCGGGTCAGGGCTAACTCGGGTTCGTTTTTCGGGAATCCAGACCCGAGTTACCCCCGGACCCGAGTTACCCCCGATAACTCGGGCGCCCAACATTATTCATTTCTAAATATTCGAAAGTTCTTTGATTTTCTGGGGGGCCAAGATCCTTTCATCTCTAATTCTTCTATCCTGGGCCTCTTCCTGCCCACCAGGAGGCCATGAACAATTAGAAGCGAGCACCATCAGAAATGAGCACGATGAGAAATAAAACACGTGTATGTTTATGCCTCGGTGTTTGCTCCTCCACCTGAGGCCCAGCGGCGTCGAGCCCCCCAAGAGGTGCTTCGAAGGCCTCCTCGGCAGCTCTCGGAGACTCTCGGCGCCGCCCGGGGCGGTCTCCGAGAGCCGCGCGCCTCTTCGAGTTTTTTCTAGGGGTGCCGGAGGCGTCCCGAAGGGCCGCTGGAGGCTTAACTTCCCCCCCCGGGCATCCCTTCGCTCAGCCCGTTCGGCGTCTGAGTCCGCTCGGCGACCGAGCGGGCCCAATTCCCACGGCCGTGTCGCAAGTGAGCCCGTGTTGCAGTGAGCCCATGCCCCCGAGAAGAAAGCCTACCCCGCCCCTCCCCCCCCCCGCGCGAGCACGTTTCTTCTCCGGTGGGGGGCGGCGAGGCCGAACTCCGTTCTCACCGCGACAAGTGTCAATCCGAGATATAGCATGATTATCATGAGTAGCAGAATTACCATTCTCGTAATCATGCACCCGCACTCTCCGTACATCCGCACACCGCCCTTACATCTGTACATGCGATTTGCCGGGACGAACTTTTCGCGGGCCCCCGAATTTGATTATCCCCTGCGGGTGATCGGGGGCGCTCCGTTACTCTTGGCATCGCTCGGACGTGTGCATTTTTCCTTCGGCGAGGACCATCGTGGAGCATCCTTGATCATTTGGCGAAAAAACACGCACGAACCGAAAAAAAACACAGGGAATGGACGTCCGAGCGATGGCCAGTACTTCGTCAAACAAAACACTGCACCAACGTAAACGTTCGACGGCCCGCGCGGATGTCCCTTGGACCGGCGCTGGGCCGCCCACCCCCTGGCGCGCGGCGGGCGCCAGGGGGCACCAGCGCAGATCCCCAGCGCAGATGCAAGGAGTCCGCGTGGACCGTCGAATAATGGATGCTTAGTGCATCTCGGCGGCGAGCGAGGGGGGGGAAGCGAGGAGAAGAAGGCCTTCTCAGAGGGCGGCGGGACTTCTCTCGGAAGCCCCCGCGCCTCCTGAGAAGTGCTCTGTGCCTTCGGGAAAGGGAAGGCTTAGTTGTGCATGTTTGGAGCATTTCTAGTTGCTATTCTTTTCGCTATTGTTGTGCACGTTTGGAGCATTTTTAGTGGTACTTTTGAATTCTTCATCGAAGATCCCCCTGTAGGGGGACACGCCCGACTTCACGCCAGTCATCTCTATTCTTCGGCGGCCGGCCGGGCGCAGGAGCCGAGCGGACCCCGGAGGGGAGCCTTGGGGCAGAGGAGCCAGCTCGAGGGGGCGGGCGGCGGTCTGAGCACGCCCGGGGGGGGGGGCCGCACAGAAGGGCTCGGAGCCGTCCTGGAAGGCCTCTCGGGAGCCAAGATGGCCTCCAGGACCCCCCTGGCCTTGGCTGACGTGGAAAACCCTGGGGTCAAGGGACTACAAAACGTCCCTAACCTGGTTTACGAGGCGCTGTGCGCTGAACCTCCTGTGGGCTGGCAGGGTAAACCCTGCGTGATGTGCGGCGTCCTGGCGGCTCTCTAGGCTTTGGGGGGTCCCAGGAGGTTTTACAGACCCACTTACTTGTAACTCAGGGTAGGGTGTTTTTTTCATCCCTTAGTTAATGGGGGGTGTTGACTCCGTGTTCAGCTGTTCGTTTTTTTGGCCAGCAGAAACGGAAGGGGTCGCAGCCAGAAACAGTGACGTGAAAAGTGTTGGGGGTGTGTTGACTCCGTGTTCAACTGTTGGATCATGATGGCCAGCAGCAGGGGACAGCCAGGAACAGTGAAAGTCCAGCACAACACGCAACCGAACCGACAAGGGCGCGAGTGAGAATGCCTCAACGGAGCACAAGAAGAAAACAACAAAAACAAGTACCACAGCACGGAAGCAAGCACGTCGATCTTGGAAACGGAACACAAGGCCCCCCCCCCAGGGTTTCCAACGTCACCTAAGCCCGTGCCTTCTCAGACGCCCCTTCCCCCACGCCGAACCCTTGTACAAGCGCGTCCCCACGAGGCTGCGCGGCGAGGAGCCCACGCAGACGCTGTCCCCGGTCGATCTGGACCGCCTGCAGGCGCTCGAGGTTCGGGCGACGCTGAGCCCAGCTGGGGCAAGTTTGAAGTCGGGTCTGTCCTTCCCCAGGCGGAATATTCAAGAATAGTCGAAAAATAGTCTGGGGGCGATGTTTGAATTATTTGTTGTTCCTTCGGGGGCATTTTTTATCGCTCCTTGTTCTCCGCCCACAGGGCCCCCTATCGGGGGGGACATGCCCGACCTAAGGCACGTTCACTGGGCAGTGCCAAAGATTGGAGCGGCCCTCCTCCTCCTCCTCCTCCTCCTCCTCCTCCTCCTCCTCCTCCTCCTCCTCCTCCTCCTCCTCCTCCTCCTCCTCCTCCTCCCTCCTCCTCCTCCTCCTCCTCCTCTCCTCCTCCTCCTCCTCCTCCTCCTCCTCCTCCTCCTCCTCAGCGAGAAGGACCGGGCCCCCTCGGAAGGCCTTCCCCAGGGACAGCCAACAAAAAAAACCTCTTGGAAGGCGCGGGGGCCTTCTGAGAAGCCCCGAGCCTTCTGAGAAGGCCTCCTCGCTCACCTCCTCCTCCTCCTCCTCCTCCTCCTTCCTCCTCCTCGAGCGAGGAGGAGGCCTCCTCCTCGCTCACCTCCTCCTCCTCCTCCCCGAGCCTTCTGAGAAGGCCTCCTCCTCCTCCTCCTCCTCACTTCCCCCCCTCGCTCGCTTCGCCCCCAACGCCGTTCGACCCCCAGGTGCCCTCGACGGGCCCCGGGCCGGGCACGAGACGACTCGGGAGCAAAAGCGGCCCTATTAGGGAAGTGGTCCAGACCTCCGCAGGGCCCCTGCGCCGGAGGAAAAAAGACGGAGCGCCGGATGTCCGGCATGGGGGGTCACCATTAATTAGGGGGGAGGGTTTTGGGGAAAAGAACAAGCAGCAACAACAACAACAACAACAACAAACACAACAACAACAACAACAACAACAACAACAACAACAACAACAACAACAACAACAACAATTACTAGCACGTGGGGACACACCGTTCTCACCAGTGCCAGGGTTTTCATAGGAGGCGGGCAATACCCCCACTTTGTGGGGGGGCCGGTTCAAGCTCTACCAAATTTCCAAACGACTCTTCGCCACCACCCACACCCAGCTTCCCGCCCTATGACGTTCGGACACTTCACTTCGTGGCATGCGGACGACCGTGGCTACTATTCAGGGCCCCGCGGCCGACGACGACGGCGTGCGCGCGCGAAGAAAAAACGAATGTGTCCCGCATGGTATTATTTGACAGGGATGATGGCCCTGGCAGGTGCGCAACCGTTGTTGCAGAAGTTCGAAAAAGTTGCTCGCAAAAGCCCGTTTGACAGAAATGTTTAAAAAGTGTTGGGTTTCCTACGAATCCGCAAGAGCGCGCGGGATGAATTTTTGACATTTTTTTTAAAAACCATTTTTTTTTTTTTGATGTTTTTATGTTAAAATCGCTACGAAAACTAAGGTTTTGGAAGGATTTCGTCTTGCGCGCGCGAATGTCCACTTTACCTTATTTTTTGCAAGGGATTCTTGAAGTTTGGTTATGTTAGAACAAGAAATGTCCACTTTAGCTTATTTTTTGCAAGGGAAAACCGATCGTAACAACACAACCGGATCCGGACTCCCCGTTTTGCCTGAGACTTCCTCACGAAAATGATGAAAATGAGGCTGCGGCCTAGGCGCGGCGGGGGGGTCGTGCACCAGGGGCCCCAACAATAATTATTCTTTAGAAGTAATAATGTTCAACAACAACACAACAACAACACACACAACAACAACAACAACAACAATCAACAACAACAACGCCCTATGGACGTTCGGAACTCACTTCGTGGCATGCGGACGACGGACGTGGCTACTATTCAGGGCCCCGCGGCCGACGACGACGGCGTGCGCGCGCGAAGAAAAAACGAATGTGTCCCGCATGGTATTATTTGACAGGGATGATGGCCCTGGCAGGTGCGCAACCGTTGTCGCAGAAGTTCGAAAAAGTTGCTCGCAAAAGCCCGTTTGACAGAAATGTTTAAAAAGTGTTGGGTTTCCTACGAATCCGCAAGAGCGCGCGGGATGAGATTTTGACATTTTTTTGTTGAAAAACCATTGTTTTTTTGATGTTTTTATGTTAAAATCGCTTCCGAACACTAAGCTTTTGGAAGGATTTCGTCTTGCGCGCGCGAATGTCCACTTTACCTTATTTTTTGCAAGGGATTCTTGAAATTTGATTATATTAGAACAAGAAATGTCATTTTATAGTGTTTTTTGCAAGGGAAAACGGATTACAACAAAACAACCGGATCTGGATGACATCGTTTTACCTGAGGCTTCCTCACGAAAATGATGAAAATGTGGCTGCGGCCTAGGCGCGGCGAGGGGGTCGCGCACCAGGGGTCCCAACAATAATTATTCTTTAGAATAAATAATGTTCAATTACTAGCACGTGGGGACACTCCGTTCTCACCAGTGCCAGGGTTTTCATACGACGCCCGCCAATACCCCCACTTTGTGGGGGGGCCGGTTCAAGCTCTACCACATTTCCAAACGACTCTTCGCCACCACCCACACCCAGCTTCCCGCCCTATGACGTTCGGACACTTCACTTCGTGGCCTGCGGACGACCGTGGCTACTACACTGGCGCATGGGTACAGTGACTTGTTGTGGTAACATTTTCTGGACGCTAGCTTAGTATACGACTTTTCCCCCTGTTCCAACACTGGACACCTGTACTGGTTTTTGGTGGTAACGTGTTCCTGACGCTAGAATAGGAAACCACGGTAAACCAGTACGACGCCGGTACTGTCTGTAGGTCCTACAATGATATGGACTGCTTTGGCTGGTGAGGCGCTAGCGTCTGATACGACGTTTTTCCGTTTCTGTACCACACAAGCGTGCGCGCGCGAAGAAAAAACGAATGTGTCCCGCATGGTATTATTTGACAGGGATGATGGCCCTGGCAGGTGCGCAACCGTTGTTGGAGAAGTTCGAAGCACGTGAAAAAGTTGCTCGCAAAAGCCCGTTTGACAGAAATGTTTAAAAAGTGTTGGGTTTCCTACGAATCCGCAAGAGCGCGCGGGATGAATTTTGACATTTTTTTTTTGAAAAACCATTGGTTTTTTGATGTTTTTATGTTAAAATCGCTACGAACACTAAGGTTTTGGAAGGATTTCGTCTTGCGCGCGCGAATGTCCACTTTACCTTATTTTTTGCAAGGGATTCTTGAAGTTTGGTTATGTTAGAACAAGAAATGTCCACTTTGCCTTATTTTTTGCAAGGGAAAACCGCCCGTAACAAAACAACCGGATCCGGACCAACCCGTTTTGCCGGAGACTTCCTCACGAAAATGATGAAAACATGGCTGCGGCCTAGGCGCGGCGAGGGGGCCGTGCACCAGGGGCCCCAACAATAATTATTCTTTAGAAGTAATAATGTTCAACAACAACAACAACAAACGGCATGAGGGGTCACCATTGATTAGTGGGGGAGGGCGCCAGTGCCTCCTTGAAGTCGAGGTGCCCGGGTCGAAGCTCGAAGAGGCTCTGGAGCGTCCGGGGTTGCGTGGGGGGGCGGCTCCGAGGCGTCTTCTCTGGCCGGGGGCCGCGCCTCCCGGAGGGAAGCGGCGCTGCCTCGAGGAAGCGGCGGCGCCCCTGGCAGTGACCCCCCTCGGCACTGCCCGGGCAGCCGGAGCCGAGGGCCTCCCATCTGGTGGGTCTCCAACTCCTCCTCCTCCTCCTCCTCCTCCTCCTCCTCCTCCTCCTCCTCCTCCTCCTCCTCCTCCGCCTCCGCCTCCGCCTCCTCCGCCTCCGCCTCCTCCTCCTCCTCCTCCTCCTGTATTGTTTCGCCTCGAACTGGTGGGTCCCAGTCGAGGCAAGTCCATTCGGAGCCACTGGACTCCACCGGGAGTGCCTCCATCTACCCCGAGTCGGGCGAGGAGAGGTATGCACATCCACCGACCTTGGCCAGAATCAGTGCACGTGCAAATTCACGACTGGACCCCCCAGCTCCGACTCTGGCGGCACCTCTCGAGCTCCATCGACGTCTCTGGCGGGGGGCCCTCCGGCCTGGCACCGAGCGACAACGCCCGGGGCGGAAAAGGTGCGAGGCCCGGGCGCAGAATTCCGACCCGACGCCGTGGTACTTTCGCAGCGTTCGGTCCTCTTTGTCCGTGGTGCGGGACGGCCCCCTTGAGGGGCAGTGGACTCTCCTTTTTGCTGCGATGCTCCTAAAGATCACAACACATCGCAGCGTGGGCCCTCCAAGGTCTGGGCCCTTTCCCCGGAGCCGCTGTTTCGCCCCACGAGGTTTTCACGCGGCCCCAGGGCCCGCGGCGGGTCCCCAGAGTACCGAAAATCGTGAAAGTCCTTCCGTCGTCCTGTTTTCCGCACCGACGGGGGGGTCTTATGTTTGGGGGGCCATTATTCCGACCTCTTGCGGCCGCCTGGAACGATGCGGGGACCCCTGGAGCGCACTCTCGGCGACAGCCCGCAGCGAGGAAGCCTCCGAGAATCGACGAGGCGTCCGAAACCGCCACAGGAGCGAAGGGAGGGGAGACGAAGGGAGGGGAGACCTGAGAGGCTGGTCGCCTCGGCACAAGAGGGCGCCCAGCCGACGTTCGCCACCAGGCGAGAAAGGCGACCGTGCACGCGCCAGCCCACCCGCCGCGCCCGCCAGATAGATAGGCTCGGGTCGGTGAATCAGCAGGGAGGGCAAGAAACAGGCACAAACAGGCGCCGATTCCCAGGAAGACATTGGAACAGATGGAAACTGGAAGGGGAAGACACCAGTCCAGAAAATACTGGAAGATCTTGGGACCCCTGGGGATGCGTGTCCCTGGGGGGAAGGAGAGGGGCCATGTGTTGATGTCTTCAAAACGGCGTCCACGGAAATCTTGGCCTTTTCCCCAGGGCCGTGGGGCGGGGCGCGCTTGGGCATATTTTCTGACACCCGTGGCTCATGGCATCGGCGACGTTGGGCGATTCGCATTTTGCTCACTGCTCGAATGCCCGAATTTCGGCGCACATTGGCTCATGCTCCACCCCTCAGATC